GTACCAGAGAGTTTGATGAGGTCATTCGCGTGAATTTTTCTTTCTCTAGGAAATTCTGTACGACGGAGAAGCCCACAGACTTGGCCAGAAAAGCCAGCGTCGCGGCTCAAAAGAGATTGAGACAAGCAATATCTGGCAGATCTGCAAATTTGCATCGGGTTGGCGGACTTTTAGTCTGATATTATCCGACTTGGTTACTTCAGCCCGACTCGTATTACCCTCTTCCACCGGCTTGGTCGTTCAGAACGTATTTCTGCTGTTGGGATCTTCGGGGGTTGATAGCGTTAAGTCTGGTCCTTCAACCGGTTTGGTCGTTCAGACCGTCTATTCTGCTGTTGGGGTCTTCGTGGGTTGATCGCGTTTAGTCTGGTCCTTTCTCTTCGACACTACCGCCATAGGTAGGCCTACATTTGTTGGAACTCCAGCCGGCTTCGCTCTTAGTATTATTTGGACAAGTAAGCTCTCTACTATGATAAGTAAAGACCATATATATTTTACACTGGATGTCGGAGTGAACAGTTTGTCACCAAATATAACACTTTGATTTACTTTTATTTTAATAACAATAATAGAAACGAATCAATAAATAAGAAAATAATAAAACTAATAAAAGTAAAACATTATCAGTAAATATGTAGAAACATTTATATATATATATATATATATATATATATATATATATATATATATATATATATATATATGAATTGGGATCAGATATGTAGCAAATATTGACTAGAACCGACAGAATGATGGGATAAACAACAAATATGAAATTTTTATAAATTTAGCATATTTGGCCTTTATTTAAGCTTTACCTGGAATTAATTATTGAATAGAAAAGTATATTTTTGGTCTTGATTTTTTATTTGGTCAAACATACCTCAAGTTTATTTGTCTTGTCTGGTATCATTCATGTGTATATTTCTTGTAAGATTGCGTATCACAATTTCAGTTAGTCGCGGTCGGAGTAGGTTGATAATTTGTATATACCGTACCAATGAACACTAATGGGTATGTCCCAATCCTCATAAATACGTTGGGCACTATTGTAATTGTTGGGGAGATATGTTGCCTTTGCTGGCAGCGTCAGTTGGCGGCGTGGGAAGCTTTTGTTGTGTCGAACTCTCTGCCTTTGCACGGAGAGGGACCTGGACGAGGCTATGGGTAGAGTCTCGTCCGAGTAAATAGACAGATACACCTCTCTCATTAAGTTTGGTCTTGTGTCGCATCCTACCTCCTAGGAAGGCAGGTAAATATCGTAATATGCTGTCTAAGTACTCCAGCAGTAGCAGTGTTTTACCTACTTCACTCCGCCGACGACTACTGTATTTTGTTGATGTTGTAAATATTACCAATTAATTTCCAACCTCCGTTTTGATTATTCCTTATTCAGTAACCCTTTCTCGGTTACACTAATAATGTATGTGCTTCTCATGGTAATCTTTTATTTCTGTCTTTTAGTGTCCGTATCTTGATTGGTAGAATGTTTTTTGTGGGAATGAAATAATTTTAATTACACCGATTGATTCTATAAGTGTAGATATTATAAAATCTGATGATATAATAATGTGTGTTTGGCGTATGTCTATTGGTGGTAAATTATTTATCAAGAATCCTTCTAAGTATTTTTCTGCGTAAGTTCTTTTCATATTAGGGAGCCATTTATTAAATCGATTTCATGACCTGTTTTCTGTCTATTTGATACGAGCGAGTTTAAATGATTTTCGCAGCACAGGTCTCTCTTATGTTCATATATGCGGACTTGTAGACTTCTAGATATTTCGCCCATATAACTCTTCTGATATTGCAGGCATTTTATATTATAAACCTCGAGATCTGATTTGTGTTGGGTCTATGTTTCTTACTAACTAAATCTCGTGGTTAATAGCTTATTCTCAAAGGTAAAATGGTTCGCTAATCTGGATTTTGCGGATATTACTCCCTCTCTTGTGTTGAGAGTTGATTATAAAATTCTGTTACATCTAAGTATGTAAAATTAATTGTAAATTCGACATTCCTGAGGAGTGGATGTAACCTTGGCGAAAATCAATGTAGAAGCAACGTAAGTGAGCATTTAATTTAATCTTCATTATTATATAATTCCCTATCCTTTATATATTTAGCACTGTCATTTCATTAGCTAAAAATACAGAAATATATGGTGGACCAATTGTTGGTAAGAAAAAGAAATCTTTGCGACATAGATCACTTTATTATTGCTATGCAATCCAGCACTACCTAACAGATAGTTGGGTAATCGGTATTTAAACCAATACCCCACCAGGCGTTGAGGAGGGTCATTTTATATCCAACAGGATTCAAACAAGACCTGTTACAGGGCGGAGAAATCTTTGCATAGTATCAATGGCCATCTCTCAAAGGCTAGAGGGAGAAATATGTTTGTTGTCCAGACATAAGCTAAGCACAGTACAAATGTTTAACCACTTATACTTTATTAAGCTATACTAAGTAATAACAGATCAGTAATAAATAAAAGCGAATCTACATATCGCGAGGCTTGGGCAGTCAAACGAGAACACAACACTCCACGTAAAATAAATACGGTGTTCAGTTCGAAATTCACTCTAAATTGCATAGACCGGATGTAGGCACATCAGTTTAAACATCTTGGTAACAAAAACAAGTAAGGAATAGTAGATCTCAGGTAAATAATATAAATAAAGATAACTCCTCATCCAAGAAATTCAATGAGAAACTGCTTTTATCGCTAGAGTGTAGTATCGATCCAGGGAAACGTCTTTCTCCACACCAAAAAGTAATTATGTCATAATCACAAGTAAACGCTGCAAAATATCTTGCGTTGCCCATGCTCACAGAATGAACAGCAACCATATATATATATATATATATATATATATATATATATATATATATATATATATGTGTGTGTGTGTGTGTGTGTGTGTGTGTGTGTGTGTGTGTGTGTGTGTGTGTGTGTGTGTGTGTGAAGAAATATAGTTTTGAGGTGTGCTATTTTATGGGATAAAGTGCTCAGTATCAGAGATGGAGTGTATATTAATGTAAATCTAAAAAGTGAACATTGAAGTCCAACACTCAGAGGCGACAGGTTGTTTCATGCTAGGCGTAATATTGCGCCTAGCATGAAACCCTGTCACCTCTGAGTGCTGACTTCAATGTTCAATTTATATATATATATATATATATATATATATATATATATATATATATATATATATATATATATATATATATATGTATGTATACAAGGTTGGTATAGATGAAATTAAATTCCAGTAACCAAAAACACTACTTTAAAAAGTGCTCAATACAAAGTAGAGGGGATAATATTTATTTAAACATTATAACATAAGTGTATCATTATATAACTAAAAAATACCCATTTTGTTTCAACATTTCTGGTGTCTTGTCAAATGATGGTGTTGATTGTAAAATAAAAAGTTTTTAAAGAGTTCAAAACCAACCATTACTGAAAATATTTTCACGTAAGATGTTATGGCCAATCACATTACAAGTATATGATAATACAAATAACAAGACAATGGGAACTAGGCATAATTTATTAATGCTTTAAAATTAATATTAGATTATATAGGAAATCAGGATAACTAATTAATCTCCAGTGCATTTAGTAATAAAAAATATAAAAGTTACTAATATTAAACTCTAAATATAATCATTCATCAAGTTTAGAAACTTTAAAAAATATTCAAAGATAAAAACGGAGAAGATATGCCTAAATTTTCATGTATTGTTCTTAATAATATATTAATTTTTCCGTCCGAATCTGAGCTGAAGTAATTAGTTACATTGACGGGGTTGTGCTTAGAGATTCAGTGGACAACGGAGAAAGATTTATTAGCGACAAGACAGACAGACATCACGTCATAATACACCTACACATAAACAGGATTGAATATATGAACACGCAAATAAACGAACGACAAATAAACAGAATCATCAGGATTCAACCATCTAAATAAATACAGAGACAGTATAAGCTATCGTCAACATTACACAAACATGTAAAATCAATATACAAATATATAATATACGCATATATATATATATATATATATATATATATATATATATATATATATATATTATATTAAAATTAATTGGTTTAAAATATTTTTTCGCTACACAGTTCTAACCATGTTTCAAAAATGGAAGCTAAAAGCTCCGAATTTAATTTTGTAATTAAATTAAAGACATTAGTTCCATTTCATCCTCAAGCGAATTTTGGAGTAACTTTTAAAATTACTGGGTTTTAAAAACACAGCAAAATCATAATTCACGTTTCCAAGGTTACAGATAAATCCACTTCGACCAGACAAGGGGTGTCTGCGTGTTCATTGTGTCTGTATTTTGATGTATCAGTTATTAGTTACGTTTTTGGTGAGGTAGGGATGTGTTTTTCAATGAAATCTAACATCCGTTAAATGTATGTCGTCTGGATTTTTTAAAATTGTATTATTAACGGCAAAAATTCTTACAGCATTTTTTTTCTATTTGTATATTTAAAGATTTTTGGCGGGGTGTTTAGGTTAGAATACGTTTTATTTAACTATGAATTGAAATATTTTCACTTTTAATTTTTACTTTTTAATATGCTATATTTCTTTTAAGAACAATTAAATTAATTCTCTGTAAATTTACATTGAGCACTGTTTTGCAAAAATAAAAATATCTATAAGAACATCGGATTATATATCTTACTTTTCTTTTATATATATATATATATATATATATATATATATATAAAATAAAATAAAATAATAAGACATTTTATGTTTATACATTCTCTTTACAAATATTTAAGTAAATGCTCTGTTCATAATAAACAGTATTAGTAACATTTACCGGCCGGAATATCCGAGAATTTTTTATCGGAATTAATCGACCTCCGACAGGTCTCGAACCAGTATCATATACAGAACCGTCATATAACCTGACGTGCCTTAACCGATTGGGCCATAGAGGTCTGTTCGTTT